GAACACAAGGGCGCTTTGTTTTATCTGCGGGTTTTTTTTTTTTTTTTTTACTATCCCTCTCCGCATGTTGTCATGGTCTTGTGCTCACGAGTCTTACTCAAGGATAACGATGCATCAGGAGACATGCAAGTTTTCTTTGGGTAAAAAGCGAAACCGTGCCGCACTCTTTGCTCCCCCGGACTTTCCTCCGCGTTTTCTAAATTAGTAACCGGGAAAGGCTAATGGGTTCCTCAATTAAAGACGTAAAAAACACAGTGTCCGTTTGGGGGGGATTGGAAAATTCAAAACACAAGGGGGTTCCACATTTTTACGACATCTGCGACCCTACGGCGTTCCGTGGTTACGTTGCCATCGCCCATAGATTTACTCGGAAAGTCTTGTTCCATCCTTCCGATGTATCGCGTTAGGAATCGAATACGCACAAGATAGCTTTGTTTACATTCACCCGTTGTATACCATACATTGGATTGCGCTATATTCACTTTATTTTATTTGTGTTGTTTTATTTTGGGGGGGAAATTTTTGCCCTTCATTATGGCTCGTACGGTATCGGACCGACTTATGTCGTAAATCAAGTTATCTCTGAAGGACAATTCCTAAGTTTGGAAACTATATTTTACTCTGATATATCAGACAGATAACGACCTCGTTTTAATATATCAACTCTAATCAGCTCCTGCATTTCTTTATTTTTCCTCTGTTTGGAAACTGTGACTGTTGCTCGACAAACTGTTTTTAGCTTAAAGCTCTTACCTTGAAGACGAACATTTCTCTCCTTAAGATGGCCAGAGTGTTGAAAGCTCCATCACAGATGTTGGGTTTAGCATTAGGGTGGGACGGTCTGTCCCCCGTGGGCAGCCTCGGAGGCCGTGTCTGTCTGTCTGGCTTTCGAGGGTCTGAGGGAAGATGGGAGCGGGGAGGAGCGGGTGCCGTCGGCAAAGGTTTGGTGGGTTGAGGAAGCTTATCTGGAGGCCCTGCAGACATCAACAGGAAGACAGGTCGATGTGGAATGCCGTTCTGTTTGCTACTTTCTTTCCATATTCATTTGACTTTCAAACTGAATAAGTATGAGACAAAATCTGCTTCAAAGCCAGCACTGGGTACATCAGACACTTAGATAGTTTGGAGGGGAGGGAATGGGGGAAAACTTGTTCTGTTTTTCATCAGAAGGCTACGAATTTGCACCGATGAGAGACACGCTTTTCAGTGTGTTTCTAAACATATAATAAATCTGTTTTCATAAAAGTTGGCCCAGCTACTGCAAGTGCTTGACTTGAAGAACTCTAAAAAACCTATTTATGCTGTATTTGGACATTTTAAACCAGGGAATGTCCACGTTCTCTTGGCTTGGGATCTACTATTCAAACGACCTACAATCATTGAAAATGTGCTACTAATGCTAACAATAACCTGTTTATGTATGGCACAATATGACTAAATACCTATATGGTCTTAGCTTAGCCATAGTGATTAGCATCTTTAAATAAAATGACATCTAAACAACAAACATCAATAACAACAGGCTTTAAACCATCAGGTCTTTTATGTAACGACCAGGAAATAACGCCATGTAACGCGTAGGAATTATGGGTGCGAGAAAATACCGATGAATCGAAATATTGCGATACTGCGATACAACACTGTATCGACTAACATTTGACTAATATTTAAACATAAAAATTAGCTCATTTTATTTTGTTTTTATTTCTTCTCTAGCAGTTGTTTAAAAACGTAATATATACCGTCTCGCCTATAGCACTGCAGTATATCGTATCGTTATCCTGATAATATCGCCAGATTCTTGCCAATACACAGCCCTAATAGTTGTGTTTTTAAATCATTTTCAATAATCTGATCAAGAAAGTGGTTCATCATTTATGTCAGAATTCTCAAAAATACATTTCATGAAATACTCACAGTGTAAGGAATCTAATCACGTGTAAATGTGTCCTAACTACCAAATATGATTATAACGATATTATAAAATTACGGGCCTTGCCAACCCAAATGTCACTTTTCCAAAGTTGGAAGGTATTAAACCAAACTGCCTAATAGCACAGCTGCAAGCAAAGTCTGGTCATATTTGTCTTGTTTCCAGCGGCCTTTTCAGGTTTTCAAACCACCTTAAAATTGATGTGTTTATCTTTCCATAAAATGCGGTTTAGGGCTCAGTCGCTCGGTCCTGACAGCTTCTCTGTTCATAAGAAAGCAGCCAGAAGGCCTTACCATAAATCTTTTGGATGCCCAAGAGGTCATCCATGGGCAGTTTAAAGTTGTCTGTATCCATGTACTGGTAGAAAGGAGCCATTATGGCTGTGGGATCGTTGGAGTGTTCCAGGCCCAGCGCATGACCGAGCTCGTGAACCGCTACCAGGAACAAATCGTTACCTAGAAACAGACACGGAGAAGAGAAAAAAAAAAACAGCAAGTCAGTGCAACAGAAAGTGTTTTTTTTTTTTTTTTGCACAGATGAGTAAAAATCCTGGACAGCTCCTGGTTGTTCCCACTTACATTTAGGCAGCTTACAGTTTTGCCTGAGTTTGTTTTGTTGACTGCGGGTGACTTAAATAAACAGCACTTTTTTTTTTTTCCCCCCCAGGAAAGACACACGTTCACATAAACCGCCACTTACTAGCTGTCACGCAGCCGTTTACACAGCATATAAACCACATGGCAAAGGTGAGATAGTAGCAGCACTGTACACAAACCCCTGTTTTTTTTAAAAGCACTACATTGACCGTTTTTCACGCACCCTAAACTGCAGATGAACCCCCATGTACTGAGCAGATATACGGAGGACTTAAATTGTTACAAAAAAAAACAACGAACAAATAACGACAAATGTCCGTCCCGACCAATAAAGAAACTCATCATCACTGTAAAGAAACATATAACTGTATAATAAAAGCAAACTACGGCCCGGGGGACATAAGCGGTCCGTTTAAATTTTTAATCCGGTCCACCAAACGTATCCAAATTGTATTATTAATTTATATTTTCGTTATTCTTTCGCCTTTCCTCTGCAGTGTCCGTAATTCCCCAGTAAATGGCGTAGAAAAGGCTAAAAGCGTTTTAGCATTTTAGCATTTATGCATGATCTTTACATGTCATTTATCTTAGCTCACACGAACCCTTTAAAAATTTTAGGAACCATTGTGGAGTCAAAAAGTTTGCCCACGCCACGGTTAGGCTAAGTACCTGGGGATGAAAATTTTAGGAAAGTGATTCACGAGAGACACCTGAAAAAGAAAAAAAAAAACAAAACAGAAAAGTAACTGCCGCCTATTATTTCAGAGACAAACTTTTCCACCCTGTTAAGAAGATAACCCCGTGATGAAACTCTGCTCCCTATTTCTTGGCTTCACACTTTTTTTTTTTTATCTGTGTTGGTCACAGTTAAAATATAGGACCTGAAACTTTATTTTTTTTAACTTAAGGTTGTCCTTCAAATGCTCTCCCGCCCCGTCATCTTTCCAGTTTCGGTTTTTCAGATTCGCAATTCCCTGCTGTTCTCGTTGCAGCAAGAGACGCAACAGGAGTGACGAGCGTGTCATTTATCCATTGTTATTACCACTGTGCGGGACCGACTCGTGCGGCTGCAAATCTCTTACATGTGAAACACATTAGTAAACAGCGGAAAGTCAAGCGTGTCCCTCCTTGGCCGATACCGAAAAAGGACTTATCACCAAGAAATGGCTCGGGGAGAATTAGCGATGGATCTTTCAACTAACAAAACCTACTAAAACTGTAGACCAGGGGTCAACGACCTTTTTTGAAACTGAGCGCTACTTGAAGGGCACTTAGTAATCCGAAGAGCTACTCGAGTTTGATACAGATTTTTTAAACGATGTAATAGTAATTAGTTCCGGGACATGCAATAGCAGACACTCTTATTACTGAATATCATTGCAAGTGGAACTGATTCAAAAAGGGACTACCATGTGACCCCTGCTATAGACCATGGCGTTTTTTTTTTTTTTGGGGGGGGGGGCTGCATTGCATGTGAACGGAAATACAAATTTCTATTCGATGGAGATACAGAAAAATTTAGTTTGGCTAGACCGGTGAGCTAACTTTCGTAATCCTTTCAGCCTCCAACTTTCTCGTCCCACTTTGAAATCCCGTGGCTCCAGATTTGTCAACCTTCATACATCAATCGTGCATTCATTTTTTGCATGTCCTTTCAAACAACTGTTGAGAGTCTTCCCATTAATATTTATGAATCCCTATGCACGAGCCACTTCCTGTCAAAAATTTGTGACCACTGGAAATTATGAATTGCACCACGTTGGTGACCCCTGCTATAGACCATGGCCTTTTTTGGGGGGGGAACTGCATTGCATGTGAACGGAAATACAAATTTCTATTCAATGGAGATACAGAAAGATTTAATTTGGCTAGATCAGTTAGCTAACATTCTTTACCCTTTCAGCCTCCAACTTTCTCGTCCCACTTTGAAATCCCGTGGCTCCAGATTTGTCAACCTTCATACATCAATCGTGCATTCATTTTTTGCATGTCCTTTCAAACAACTGTTGAGAGTCTTCCCATTAATATTTATGAATCCCTATGCACGAGCCACTTCCTGTCAAAAATTTGTGACCACTGGAAATTATGAATTATGTGGGGTTCCTCAGAGGTCTGTTCTTGGACCCGTTTTCTGTCAAATTCTGCGGGATTACAACGTTGACTAACGTAGCTATGCAGATAGTTTCGCTGTTCAGAACAAATGTGAATGGATGAGGTCTATTATTAGAACGAAGGACCCACTCTGTCCTTCGACCCCGAGGCAGCCTCCCGGGGCCTTTTGAGGTCATTCGACACATACTTAGCGTAGCCCTTTTTAGATACGTACATACGCAGCGTTATGAAGAGCCGCACGCACCGCCGAAACCATTATCAGTCGAACTGCAAACAGAGGCCACAAAAGAAACAGTGAACAGCAGGAAGGGCACAAAGCCGACAGCAAAGGGTGTCAGAAAAAAAAAAAAACAGAGGTAATGCGAGGAAATACTACAAAAGGTGCAGAAATAGAGGAGTCAAAGCCTTGAGTGAGCGAGGAAAAAAAAAAGTGAGACAAAGAGTAAGTGAATACAGGAAAAAAAAAAAAAGTGCTACAAAAGGGAAGAGGAAGGGCGTTTGGAGCGATAGCCGCAGAGGAAGAGGCCAACGTACAGGATGATAAAGAGAAGAGGGAAAACCTGAGGCGAGGACATCCACAATGCCTGGGTCTACTCGTTATCTTGTAAGATGCTCCAGCGTGCTGGCTCACACAAAAGATTGAGGTGATGAATTATACAAGTTCAACCTCTGACCTTGGTATTTGCAATGTCAGATTCCTTTCAGTGGCCATAGCTCAAAGCCAGAAAACCCCTGCAGAAAAACAGCGAAGAAATCGTATTGTTACAACGTGTTCTCTTGTTTACAGCTACATCTACGCGGTATCGGCTTCAGACGCCGACGACTGTTTACTTAGCCGTTCTTCACAGTGATCGCAGCAGCAGCCCCGTAGCGAAACGGCAGCTATACGACATTCTCCCTGGGACAGGTCAAGGTTACGGCTAATGAGAGAGTGTAGCCATGAAGAAAAAAAAAAAAGTGAAAAAGGAAGATGGAGTGGAGGACGTGAAGAAGGGGAGTCACTGGAGATTTACGAGCAGACAACTCCCCCCGCCCCCTCGACGTCTTTTTTCTTTCCAGGGAGGCCGCGGTAAAGTAAACAACAGTTTTGATTGGAAAACAGAAAACTCTTGTCTGCTCTTTCTCCACAATTTACCGGCTCCCTGCACATGCCATCGCTGGCTACAGCCCATCTGCCAGCCGGGGGGGGGACACACACACACGTGATGTTGAAATACCGTGTTTCAGACATAAACACACATACATTGGGCCCACAAATCAGAAATAGGGCCCTGGGCTCGGCTGTTCAATTGCAGTAATGGCTTGGCTTGACAGCACAGTCCTCCGGGGGCCTGTAAACCTCTCTGCTCCTGTGGAGTTTAACTAAGTGCCCACGGTTCACTCGGTTCACTCAATACGAGATGTCAGTTCCAGGCTTAGGTGACCAGCAGGCTGTCCACCTGTTGGTACCACTGTCCTGACTCTTTTCCTTTATCTTAGCACTTTATCAGCAGCAGATTTTTTTTTTTTTTTACATCATCATTCAGGAAGGATAAATCTTTAACAGGATATCAACAACTTCGTTTCGGCACCATCTCGAGTCGACACTATATTTATTGGAAATGAAGCATACGGTACTAAATGGCCAAAGGTTTCCTACTGCAGCGGTCCCCAAACTTTTGTACCAAGGGCCGGACTGCTGGTACCGACCGTTACTGAAGACGGATTGTTGAATTATCGTAAAGGATCATTAAATTCTTCCATCCATCTATTTTCATTCGCTTATCCGTTATTGGGTCACGGGGGCAGCAGTCTCCATAACCGCCACCCAAATCACACTGCACCGTACCAA